TGGACATCTGCTGCAGACTTTCCAAGGTTGGTTATACTTAGGCGTGGTACCTTCCAAACATACAGAAACTTTTACCTATTTCATACACTCAGTGATTAAGGTGAGGGAAAACTATACATAATTTCATGGTTTTATTTAAATTTACTTACTTTTTCGATTGAAACCAAATGTATTGTTGGTGCATGCATAACAATTTTCAGCTTCGTGTTTTCCGGGATTTGTCCAAATCATTGGTAAACCGAATGGTAACGAAAATCGTTTTTTTGTCCACCAAAAATTCATGGCACTAATGCACGAAATACATGTGTGTTGGGCTGATTTCAAAACGAATTTACCACAAACGAAACAAAACTTGTTTAATTTATTGCAAAGCTTTTGAATTTTTTTCATCTTTAGGAGTTTCCGAAGACAATGATATGATGAATAAAAGTTTTTCGCAAAATTTTCGATGTTTTTTATCAATTAATATGACAGTCGCGCGCGTAGATTTTCGGTTTGTGTTTTTTGGTTCCCAACTTATGTGAAATAGGCGGCGGTCTAGCCTATTTGAAAGCATTACTCAGTCACTTTGACTTTAACGAACAACAGCTTTCACACTACAAAAAAGGTATTAAAAAGCCATTCGTACAACAGAAACTGCTAAAATATGCCAGAGTGGGATTGAAAAGNCGCGTAGATTTTCGGTTTGTGTTTTTTGGTTCCCAACTTATGTGAAATAGGCGGCGGTCTAGCCTATTTGAAAGCATTACTCAGTCACTTTGACTTTAACGAACAACAGCTTTCACACTACAAAAAAGGTATTAAAAAGCCATTCGTACAACAGAAACTGCTAAAATATGCCAGAGTGGGATTGAAAAGAACCCAAATTCAGGTCCAAACAGTGTATAAACTACTATTATAAAAAAATATTACGAAATAAAATATGAGTTGTAACGCAAAACCACATATCTGAACAATCAGTTGTATGGGAGCTATATGTTATAGTGAACCAATTTCCATGATTTTCAGAAATATTTTAGTAAAATAACCTTAAAACTGAGGTAATTATTAAAAAAAACCTAAAATTTAAGCAGATTTTCAAGCACCGTTATCTCGAAAACTAGAGCCAATCTGCAAAAACGGAGGACGCCATTGAATTTAAAAGATCCCAGTTAAGTAAGATCAGTTATCAAAACCTTTGCCCAGAAAAAAATCAAAACCTGAGCACAGTGTTTTAAACGACGAAAAATTCACTTTCAGAACTATAAAACTTCCCCCCTAAATATCTTCAAATTTTAGCGTGATACGAATTTTCTGTAAACGCCATCGTAATCTAGAGGCCAAAATTAAGTTTACGTATTTTTCCGTTTAGCTGTGATATTTTTGCCTCCCTACTTTGTTATTATACAAAGACGAAAAAAAAATTCTCTTAAAGCAAGGCGACGTTTTTGATCCGGAATATTAGGATAATAATTATTTTGGATCTCTGTAAAAAACCTTAGGTAAAGTCTCCCTTGCCCATATCGCTCGTTTAATAATATACAGATGTAACTCAAAATTTATGTTTTTGGAGATTTCATCACACAATCACAAAACTTGATAAGGAGAATATGTTCAGCCTAACAGATGACTAAACTTCCCAAAAATTACTAAGATATATGACTTTCCATCTGTCTTTTGGTATACCATCTGTATGAATTGAACAAAATTTGATTGCGTTTTCCCACAAAATTGAAATTTTGAAATAATAGTTTTTCACATTTTCTGATAAACGTGTAATTTTGAGTTGTGCCCCTTTTGAAGACAGTGTGCGATATGTACATACTTAAATCTAATATCTTAATACAGTGAGCTCGCGATAATATTAACATCCTAAAATATGACTACTCTAAAATATGAACCTTAGGCAAAAGCTCCAAAATATGAACTTTATTGTTTTTAAAAATTTCTAACGAATTTCAAGCGCTTGGTAATTTGGGGAACCCCCTAGTTATTTGCATTGGAAATGTCCATACGTGTTGCTCGGAAATGCTTACAGTGAATAACTTCATGTTCGGTTTTCTTATTGTTAAATATGCCTCAAACATGTGATCCATTATTTTAAAGTTTTTTTAACTGCAAGAAATCAAGTTTATTTGTTATAAAAAAACTTGCTTTAGAAAAAAATTTTAAAATTGCAAAGTAAGTTTAATATTTCGTTTATCAAGTCTCGGCTAATAGAAAGTTTATGTTTTGTATGAATTTGTTTGGAAATTTTGAAAATCGGTTATTATGGTAGACAAGAGGTCGGTTAAGGTATTAGAATACCCTCCATAGGTAATTTTTAATTACTTGAACACCACGATTATTCTAGATGCCAAAAATAGGGGAAATCCGAAAGTGGACCCAAGACAACATGATATAGATGATAACAGCTGCGTTATCGTGATGTGGTAAAGTATACATTATCCTCACCATATATACCATATTACCCTCCAATTTTTGAAGTAGGTATTTTTTGGGTTATTTTAAATTTTTTTCAATAACTTTGTTATTTTTGAATACAAGTAGTATTTAACTGAAAAATATTTTATAACTTAAGTTTCACTGTTCTCGTATAACAAATAATAGTTACAATAAAGCTCGTACATTTGCTACATATATAAAAAAAATACCTATACCACAATACCCGAAGCTCCCCTGCATATGCGGTTTGTTTATTTGTTTCACAAACAAAACGAATACAAGTTTCTTTTAAAGTTCTAAATAAAACATTTTTTTTAAATTAATGAAACTTGTTTTTTAATTCTTGAACCTTTCGTAAAAATGAACAATCTCGCAAAAATTAACAGGCTTGGTTTTAATTAGTTCATATTATCGCGAGCTCACTGTATTAAACATTTCCAGCCGATTTGTTTTTAGATTTTTTGGTGCAAGCGGTGATGGCTGAGCTCAATTGCCTTCTTGATTTCTTTTTCGAACTCAACAGGACTTTTCTTTTTAAATGCATCTATGTGGAATGAGATAGACTATCCAACAATTTTTATACCCGAGCGCACTTGTGCACAAGGGTATATTAATTTTGTTCACATAACGGTTGTTTGTAACAGCCAAAACGAATCGAGATAGATATAGACAAATGTATACATAAATGATCAGGATGAAAAAAGAAATCGATTAAGCCATGTCTGTCTGTCCGTCCGTCCGTCCGTCTGTCCGTCTGTCCGTCTGTCCGTCTGTCCGTGTACACGATAACTCGAGCAAAAATTGAGATATCTCAACGAAATTTGGTATGTAGGTTTCCCTTAATCCAAGGTAGGTTGGTATTGAAAATGGGCGAAATCGGACTTTAACCACGCCCACTTCCCATATAACGGTAATTTCCAGAAATACGAAAACTGCGATATTTTAGTAACTACTGAAGATAATTCACTCAAAATTGATATTTACAATAATTTTCAGACGAAAAATAAGAATATTATAAATTTTTGGAAAATGGGCGTAGCCACGCCCACTTATGGTTACATGTGTATATCTTGGTAACCGCTGCACCAATTTCTTCCAAACTTGGCACAGTTGTTGGCCTTGGTACAGCATAAAAAACCGCCGAAACTTTTTAAAATCGGACAATAACCACGCCCACATCCCATATAACGGTAATTTAGAGAAATACAAAATCTTCGATAAATCAGTAAATATTGAAGCTAATTTATTCAAAATTGATGCTTGCAACAATTCTTTACCAAGAAATACGTTTATGGTAAAATTTTGGAAAATGGGCGTGGCACCGCCCACTTATGATCACATATAAGTATATCGGTAACCGTTCTACCAATTTGTACCAAACTCGGTATGGTTATTGTACTTGCTAAAATAACGGCCGATTCTCATATAACCTGAAATCGGACTAAAATAACGGCCGATTCTCATATAACGGTAAATTTAAGAAATGCTTGAAACTTCAATATTTCGAAATTGAAGGACGCTAATTTACTCAAAATTGATACACCTCGGCTTACCATCTAGCGGAAGGTTTCGGAAGGGTGAAAAAACATATATTTAATACTTGCGCCGGGTATTTAATGTTCGGCTCCGCCCGAACTTAGACTTTCTTACTTGTTATTGTTAAAAGATATGTACATATGTATACGGTAGTGGCCAATAATTAGGGATACTATTTCTTTATAAGTTTTGACCATTTATTTAAGAACTTGCGTTGATTTTTGAGAGTTTTTGACTAAGTATGTTAAAAAGGTTTTTATATATATAGTTATAAATAAATAAAGAAAAAAATGGTCAGAACTGGTAGTGTCCCTAATATGTGAACATATTACCTCGTAGGATTGTGTCAACCAGTCTAAGTTTGTTTATTGGATATCTCTCATATTCCGTCCCAGTTAAACTGCAGCAATGCCTCGTCCAAAAATAAATGTTTAATAACGCTGGCTACGTCCTCAGACACACCTTTTATTTTTATGATATAAGTGACCTTTTGAAAAATTTATGCACAGCAATTAGAACGTGAAATATTTATTCCATAATATGATTCATTACTGTAAGGCACTCGGGGTTGCAGGAGCTGGTTTCTGTAAACAGCCTTAAGTAATATCGTAATAGAGTGTGTAATATCGTAATAGTTCTTAAGTGATGTGTCTAGGCCTTAAGTAATGCAACTAGTTTTTAAGCTATGTGTTTCAACCTTAAAAGGCTTATCACACGGTATGTATTTTACACGTGCACAGCTACTTTTTCGNAAGACGCAGCCGCGGTCAACATTTAAATGAAATTATCTTCAAAAAGTAAATGTCATGGACCAATCTAACGTTTCAAATAAAGAACCGATGAGATTTTGCAAATTTTATGCGTTTTTTTTAAAAAAAAAGTTATCAAGCTCTTAAAAAATCACCCGTTATAATCCATTATGGCTGTCAAAATTTAAATTTCGTGCTATCTGTTATTGTGTCTACACGACATGTAACAGCTTGTGTGTGTCACTTCTCTAACACAGCTGACTGATATAAATTCTTTGGTTGAAAAGTAAAAGTAAAAATGAATGAAAATAATAAAAAAAATTGCTCTGTGCAGCTCCATGATGATTGCAATCGCTTTAATAATCAAAAAACGTATAAAGGAATAAGCAGGGAAGCGAGTTCTCTGTGGAGAGAAAATTGGCTATTGTGTAGAGATGCTTCCCAAGGATTTCCTTGCATGGCCATAAACGAAATTCTGCCGGAGGATCCCAAAGCGTTCCGAAATTTCGGGCGAATGACAAAGGAAACGTTCTGCAGCAGGTTGCTCCCCTAATTGCAAAGCAGGACACAAATATACGGGAAGCTATTTCTCCAACTGCCAGGTGGGCCATATACATACATATATGTACGCTTGTTACAGAACATATTGTTTAAGTAAATGTTCTGTTTAGGTTGCTTGACACTCTCCGGTGTTTAGCGACTGGCGAAAGATTCCACCAATTAGCGTATGGATTTCGAATATCTCAGGCCGCGATTTCACTGATTATCCCTAAGACACTACGAGCTATCTATTCAGTTTTAGAAAATGTTTCTTGAAGGTAAATGAATTACATGTATTTCCACTTTTAATAAAAAATTGGTTACAGGTACCAAACACCCCAACTGATTGGCGAAATATAGCAAAGGAAATATGAAATGGAATTTTCCTCAGTGTTTGGGTGCCATTGGTAAGTATAAAATAAATGCACGTTGTTTTGAAACCGATTTTGGTGTATAATATCTATACTTTTTTAACTATTCAGATGGCAAACATATTGCTATTGCCATCAGGCAGAAATATGGCTCGTACTGTTATAACTACAAAGGTTTCCACAGCATCAAATTGCTGGCTGTGGTAGACGCAAATTACCAATTTCTTTGCGTTAACGTTGGAACCAATGGGCGAGCAAACTACGCCGCTGCGTTTAATGAATCATCGCTTTGTGAAGGTATCAAAAAAAATGCATTTAATTTCCCAGACGACAAAGTGCTACTGCTACCTATAAAAAATTGCCGTTTGTGTTCGTGGCTGACGATGCTTTTAAACTAACTACGCCCATCTTAAAGCCACATGGACAGCGATCAACGAACTACCACAAAATTTTTTTTTTTACCGATTAAGCAGAGCTCTTAGAGTGGTGGAGAACGCTTTCGGAATCTTAGCAACTAAATTTCAAGTTTTCCATCGAAATATTCACCTGCCAGTAGAAAAAGTTGAAACATTAACCTTAGCCGCATGTGCACTTCACAACTTCATTCGCTGCAGAGATGGATTCGACAGCAGCCTCACAGATTCCGAAGATACTGTCGCAGTAAATATGACAAATGGATCCTGGCGAAACGAGGTGCAACTAACTGATATTCAGAGATCACAAGCAAACCGATCCGGTGAAGAAGGAAGAAGGGTGCGCGACGAATATACAGAGTATTTTAACACACAAAGATCTATTCCGTGGCAACGGGTTGCAATTAAAAAATTTAATTTTTAATCAAACATCTACTGTTCACCATTGTGCCTGCAAATACAGTGATTCGAAAAAACTATAGCCGCACAACATTTTGCCAAGTTTTAACTTTTTTGTTATTTAATTTTGGTTGTTTTTTATAAAACTATAATTAATTCTTTTACATAACCCATGTAAATCCAGGTTTCAAACTTTGTGCAATATTTGGATAAAAAATCCTTAAACTTTCCTAAAAACTTCCGAGATTTTTTAATTTCCTAGAAATATTCTGGGTATGCAGTTTGGCAGCCCAGTTAGTTCTAATAGAATAAAGTATAAGTTTCTAGTGGCTAAAAAATACTTTTAATTTTTTTTGGAAGATATTACGGTTTTTTCATATTTTTATTTTGTGTTTACTCGTTGTATGGAAGCAAATGGGACAATCTTCCAGATTTTTATAATTTTTACACAATGTTTGAAATGCGGATTTATATGGTGTTTGTTACATAATAAACTAGACTTTTATGAAAAAATAATGACAATTAAATAAACAAAAGAAAAATGAACAAAATTGATCAAAATGTTGCTGGCATAATTTGCTGATCACAAGTGTATGTATATAGATATACATATGTACATTCAAACAAACCTAGAAACAACTATTTTTATGTAATAGAAAAATTCACAGGTTTTTATTGCATTAAAAGGTACTTTACATATCGCACGTTTAATAGTATACAGATGTAACTCAAAATTTTAATTTTTTGAGAAAACGCAAACAAAGTTTTATCATTTTAAAAAGTTTAATTTAACAGCAAATTACGATGACACCGAAAGAGTCACGTCAATCTTCAATTTAGGAAAACAAATTACAATTATTAAATTAGTAGATTGTTGTAAAAGATATTCATATTATTTAGAAGAAGACACTTAATTTTGGCCTTACATTTTTCATTCAGAGTTAATTCACTTTATTATTAAAAATTTATTCCGCCAAAAGTAATTTCATATGGTGTATTTCTAAATATTACATTTTCTTTTAAAAAATAATTTGAATTTTTAGGAAACAATCCGTTTTGCTGCAGTAAAGTATGTGCACGAAAAAAATTGGTCGCAAATAAGCAACAGCTCGGTTAATCATAACAGAAAAATAAAGACAGGTACTCATTTAAAAAGCTGAAAGCATTCTCCACCTTACTGCATCATTTCTTTTTAGCAACAAAAATCAGTGTAGAAACGAGGACCAATGAAAGAAATCGATCGCGAGTTAATATTGCGCAAAAAGCTGGAAAATCCCAGCATGTCCCATAACGACATCGCTAAAAAGCTAAAATTTCCAAAGTCTACCATTACTTATATGTTTGCAAAATACAATGAATGTTTATCTCTAAAAAGGAAGCCTAGTAGTGGCAGAAAAAGGGATTTGCATGCGAAATTAAGGCAAAGGAAGCATTATCTGCTTTTAAGAAAAATCTTGGACTTTCGGTAAGAGATGTCGGCAAAAAAGTAAAACATGTCGTCTTCATATGTACAAAAAGTACGCAAAACAGCAGGACTACGTTCTTACAAAGTGAATGCAGCTCCTAATCGCAACGATAAGCATAATTTGTTGGCGAAACAACGTCCTCGGAAATTGTNTGCATGCGAAATTAAGGCAAAGGAAGCATTATCTGCTTTTAAGAAAAATCTTGGACTTTCGGTAAGAGATGTCGGCAAAAAAGTAAAACATGTCGTCTTCATATGTACAAAAAGTACGCAAAACAGCAGGACTACGTTCTTACAAAGTGAATGCAGCTCCTAATCGCAACGATAAGCATAATTTGTTGGCGAAACAACGTCCTCGGAAATTGTACAGTCTTATACACAAATTTGGCTGTATTATTATGGATGACGAATCGTACGTAAAAGCCGATTTTAAACAAATAAAAGAGGAAATATTGCAGATAAATATAAAAACAAAAAGCTTGACAAATTTCCCAAAGAGTTTCTCATTTGGCAGGCAATTTGCCAATGCGGCTTCAAAAGTGATCCTTTTGTAAGCACTGGTACAATTAACGAAGAAATTTATGTTAAGGAGTGTCTGCAAAAGCGACTTCTACCTCTTATACTGCTTCATAAAAATCCAGTGCTTTTTTGGCCTGATCTCGCGACATGTCATCATGGAAAAATGGGTTTAGAATGGTACCATAGAAACAAAGTGTATTTTGTAGCTAGAGAGGTGAATCCACCTAATTGTCCAGAGCTTCGGCCGATCGAAACCTACTGGGCCGTTATGAAAGCCAAACTTCTTAAGACCCACAAAGCTGTAAAAAACGCACTACAGTTCAAAAATAAGTGGCGGCTAGTTTCCAAGGAAATCACTGAAACTTCTGTGCAAGGGCTAATGAAGGACATAAAGTCAAAATTGCGATCGTTTGCTTATTACAAGGAGAACTAACCTGTTTTTTTTAACGAATTTCAATAAAACTAAGTTTAGATGTAAATATATGTAAATATAGTTGAATTCCATTAATATATTTACGTTTTAGAACGTTTTAAATGTGACCAGTTTTTTTTCGTGCACATATTTTACATGTCTAAAAAGTATTCAATGATGGAAAACTATTTTTTAAATACTCCTGCTTAAAATAGATATTAATTATTATTCGATCATAAGAATAAAGTACTAAGCAATTCTACATTTCGATAAAGCTACACCTAGTTCACTAATATATTTACGAGTTATTACCAAATACCAAAAATATTCCAACTTGATTTTATATCGGAAAACTCTGAGCTGTTTCTTCTGTCACGGGTAGGACAAAGAAAAGACACTGCTTTTTGGAGAACGTATATTTTAGATTAGAATTAGATGTTTTACTATACAGAAAAGAACCAGCAATCCTAACAAAGCACAAACCATAACAAGAATTAGTTTATTATTAAAAAATTCAAAATTCTCCTGTCCAGGGTGGGGCACGTACGATATTCTTCATGAAATAGAGCTTCTAGTGAGATCCATATCAAAGGGCTCGGGTATGATGATTGTTAGAGGCCAAATACAAGATCTATTTACCCACTTTTATCACAGTAGAGTCATTTTAAGACGCACGATATACTGCTGCCCTCAGGATCTATTTTAGGGGGCAAAGTTACACCAAACGAAAGCTAGAATTCGCCAGATTGATGTATTAAAATGCATGGGAGAATGGATTTTTTGCAAACGCATGACATTTTATATGCATTTTCCAAATACACTTCTGCTCGGTGCATTTGATTGCAATGAAATTTCGAATGTGCCTTAATGATTTTCAAGTTTGTTTGGACTAGCTATGTATGTCTGGCTAACACTAACTAAAGGTTAAACATGGATATCGACTCCTGTTATCACGTCGATAGCGATGTCTAACCTGCTGTTAGTGTTAACCAGACATTGAGTAACCGGCCCTAAGAGTGGCTGGAGTTGAGTTTTTTTTGGAAAACTGATTTCATGGAAAAGCAGGCTCAAATTTAGCTATTCTTTGGTGAAACCATACGACGCCAAAAAAGATCTTGTGTATCGATGTCTAATCCGAAAAGTTATCTGCATTAGAATACTTATACGCAGATACAAATATATATCTTTGTCACTTAAATGCTATTTCTCAGATTGAATTTATAAATTAGGCGAACTTCTAGATTTTCTTGGTTAAAATTTTTTGAGGTAATTGTTAGTATTGCCTTTTGGATTGTTGGTAAGCAACCCTCATCATAGAATTCTCTGGAGTCTCTATGATAGTAATGTTTACCTTGACCTTTCGAGCTGACCACGCGAAATTTTTTACTACATCGCTTAGCCCATCAACAGTATTATGGTGTTAAATCAATCTGAACTTCAAATTTTTTGTGGCATTAAACATAGGTTTGAAACGGTAAACTTTTTTTTTATTGTTAGGCACCATTAGAAAAAAATTATAAGTGATTGTTACGGGCGGGACTCGATAAAACGTCAAAATCTTTAAAGTAGGAACTTATAATATAATAAAAGAAATGTAATAGGGCTGCATAGTATAAACACAATCTAGTTATGAAATTATAGAAAAATCCCTAAAGTAGTAACAGAACTATACGAAGCTTAAAACTTTTTTGTCACGGGTGGGACATGCAAAACCGTAGTGATTTGTTCCCATTATGTAATTTAAATGCCTATTTTTCTTCAATGCCATGTTGCTTCTTTGGGACGAAGAAAGATCGAGACATTTATTCCCCACTTCAAAAAAATAATAACTTTGTAAATACTTGATTTTTCAGAGTCTTCTGTTTTAAAATATATTGTCGTATTCAATTACTTTTCTAATGTTGAAGTTTCTAGTGCATTTACAGTGTAATAAAATATTATAACTAAATTTTTTCGTCGAAAATACGTTAATTTTAGGTATGTAGCATTGATTAATCAAGTATTCCATGTTCAATAAGTTACTTTTTAATTGGACACAAAGTTTCACTAACTCATGCAATACCCCATGAGTTAAATTAACTTATTAATTACCCAAACATAATTATCAATTAAAAATAAATTCGTAATATAAGCATTTTATGTAGTATTTAATCAGAACATAACGTCGCTGGAATAATGAAATAGTGTAACATGAAAAGTATAGTTTTGAGAAAAACGAATTGAAAGTTTTTATAAACTATTACAAACCATACAAATACAATTTCGTTTTTCGGGAATAAATTAGTGAGCCAAAGAGATATTTAAGAAAACTAAAGATTTTTCTAATAGATTAAAGGATTGTCTATCCAATGGTGCAATTATCGAATAATAGTGTATGTGGCATTTACACTGTTTCTTTATTCGAGCGACGATAACGTAAATCACAATTCAAGTTGGGATAGGTGAAAAATTATAAATCTTTTTAAATAGAGTTAAAACAAAGGTAAATCTTTACAGAAGACAAAAAACTTATAATATAGAATTATAAAGGTTTTCGTAGAAAGAA